CATGCAGAGTTATTTTTAAATGAGCAATTACTTCATATTCCACCCGACTCCCGTTGTTTCCTGTTTACGATTAGCACGGTTGGCTACGTACGGTGCGAAATAAGTTTTTTGTTACTCTTTTGTTCTTTCGCTAAAGTCCACCTGAGGACGATTGCTTGTGTAGCAATCTAAACGTCGTGATCTATTTTTTTCTACCTACGTGACTTTACCGAAAGAACCAAAGAGTATGGATTCCTGCAGTCACGAAAGCTTCAAATCAAGATTGAAGTTTTTTTTGTTGATCCATTCATTAAACGTTTAGATATTGGATATCGCATAATTAATCACACATGCCTGAAGAGTTTACGCTAAAATTGGGAATTAAATGCGTTGGTGATTGCCGCTTCGCTGTTTGTCGGCACAGTGATCAAGTCCACTCCACCATGAACCTGCTCGAACTTGAGTTCAATTCCCAGGCATGGGTAAAATTAGTCGTGAGTGATATCTGAACCGGTCCTGCCACCCCCACACCCACCACCCTCCCCCCTTCCACCCAACTCTACTCCTGCCGCAACCCGCTGAATGCACTTTGAACTTCTATCGCACCGTACGTAGCCAACCGTGCTAATCCGAGGTGCGCGGGGAAGGGCAACAAACTAAACACAAACAAAAATAAGTTCTACAGAAATTAGTTTTCAATCTAGATTTAAAAGTGCAAAGCTCCAGTGGCTTCCTAATATCGGAAGGAAGAGCGTTCCAGACGGCCACAGAAGCGCATCTGAAAGCGCGCAATGTGGTGACCGTCTTTGTTCGATGGCTGAGCCAAAATGTTCACGCGATAAATGGCAATGTCGAGGTCTGCTAGCCACGAGAGGGCTTCCTGTTACCTGTTTTCATGTTACCTTAAACACAACTCATACCGTCATCTCAGCGAATTGGATGTCGTTAATTCGAATGCAGATCTGATCAGCGGAGCAGCTTGCACTGATTAGCATGTACGGACGTGCGATCAAACAATCCCATTGACCAACAACAGCTGTGAATTATAATATACAGTTTTTTTAATATAGATCGCATTCAGGATTAAAATAAACAATTCTATTGTCACCTACTTATATTTTTTTCATGACATTGATAATACCTTTATTTAGACATTCGTAAAGTTTCGCTTGATGGACAGCCCAACTCCTAATATTGCATTAACGTGGGTTTAATTGTAAATTCGAAATTTACGCTTGCGTAAATATTTAATGATGCATCCATAACTCCCGCCTGCTGCCATGCACCTGAGCATCACCTGATTATTAAAATCGGCTGCACTTAAATTACACCTCGTATTTGTTATGCTCTCAAATCGCACAATACGTTATTAGCCTGCTCATCGCCTCATTGAGTTTACAAGCTCAACGACTGATTCACGCATGCTGCTTTATTGGTGTGGTTTTTTACAATCACCTGGAGGATTATTAAATTCCGAGTTTTTATTCTTCTTCTTCTTCTCAACAGAAAACAATGCCACAGTCAAGGCTTTCGCGTTAATCATAAAATAATCATCCACCGAATTCGTTCTCACCGATTTATGCTGATATAAGGGGTGTGCCGGGGGCGTGGAGCGATGGCACAGAGTTAGCGCGATGCACTATGAACCCGGCGACCTGAATTTGATCCTTGGCCACGGATAACGTCAGTGGTGACTGATATCTGAACTTGTTCTGGGTCGACCCCCCCCCAAGCCCCCCCCCCCTCCTCTTCATCAATCCGCGTGGTGAAGTATGGTCAAAATAACCCCCACGACTGATGCAGCGTGGGGAGGCCTTCATCTAGCAGTGGATTGACGAAGATGCGAGCTTTACATTGTTTTTCATTATAATTGTTAATTAAGGGTGTCAAAGCTAGGGTTTGGCAAAGAGCTTCACAGCATATGTATGTGTGTATGCAATCTATAGCTGTACACATATTCCTTTGTTCCCCAGGGGTTTAGTAAAAATTGCCCTCTGGCCTCAATGCAGACAAAACATCCAAGTGGTCCACATGTTGCCCATGGGTAATGCATTGTAACACCACTGCTCTGAGAAGCAATAAATACTCCCAAAATACCAATGATTACGAATTTTAAAATACTTAATATAGACTAATCTTACATTCGGATGCCATGCATTATATCAGAACATCAAGATTCTGCACAAGAACCAAGGATAAATTAAATTAAATAAAAAAAAACATGTTTCTAGGGAGTCAAGGGCAACGACTTTTGGAGACAGACAAACTGGCGAGTCACAACAATTGACAGCAAATTCAAGAACGGCAGTTGAATTGGCTTATTATTTACAGTTGAATGTACGAGACAATTGGGAGAGAAAAACAAGATGTTGTGCGCATATGCTGTGATTTGGAGCCATCAGTGAAAATGTTTTACGAGCAACTTACAAAAAAAAGGAATGCTGCTTATGGTTCAATAGTGAGTACATTAAGACTTGCGATTCGAAGGTCGTTGATTTGATTAGATCTCCGGGTGCGGCAGTTGAAACATGGGTAAGTTTATTAAATCTCCCGGCGTCCCCCGGGCCTCTGTCCAGCCAGCAGTAAGAATGGCATGAAGTGAGGTAATTCAGACCTCCTCCAAGACATCTGGGCAACGTGAAAGATTCGGCTCTGTTGTGTTCCGTCTCGTGCAGGCCCTTCTTCCAGGAGTGGACTGAACAAGCAATTAGAGGGTTATAAACTCTACTTTTTTTTACCTCTTACTAAAAAAAAGACTGAATACACGGAGAATGCGAGCGGTATCGGCTGGCAGAAGAAAGGTGTTGTGGACAGAAGCTGCAGCTGAGTGGGCAGCCTCCCACTGAGCTGCATATGTTGTAGATGGTTTCTGAAATGGTGCACTCACAATGGGAATACGTTGAGATGGATTCCTGAAGGAATACTCGTGCAGTGCATTTATCTGTTGATGATGTCATGGATGGCTGCCCGTGTGGCTTCACCTATTCCTGCTCAAACGAGCCCACCGTGGTTTAACCATAGCCTTATCCCAGTATTCCCAACCTTTTTCCTAATGTACGCTAATCGAATTTTGTAATTAAATTTGATTTGATCATGGAATGTAGCATACCAGCGTAACTAAAGAAAAACACCAAGTTCAAACGAAAATAAGTAATGTTTTCAATCAGTGCACAAGATCGACATCGGAAACATGGACGCCGACAAAGAAACGTTTACAAAAGCGAAGAGTATGCGGAGAACCATTGAGAAATTAATGGTGGGATTTACACTGAGAGACAATAAAGAGGGGCACATGGATGCGTGAGCAAATGCAAGTAGAGGCATGAAAAGTAAGTGGACTTTGGCAAGACAAATTACTGTAAGGGCTGACGGATGAGATCAGTAATGGAACGGCAGCCAAAGGCGTGAACACGGCCAAGAGGATGACCACTGTTGAGATGGATTTTGATTGAAACGAGATGGATTGTGGCATCGCGAGAACATGACTGATTGCTATAATGTGGAGAAATCTTAATCCATCAGTGTATAGACAATAGCTCATGATGATGATGTTAAAAGTGGCTGGTCATTAGAATGATGAAAGTGTCTTGTCTACCAAATAATTTTTTCCCCATACTCCACATGTTATTAATCATCTCAAATTAATAGGAATATATTACACTTGGAATGTAATCTTCCTGAATGAATGCTAAATATGAACTAAAATTAATCAAGTACCCCAGCCAGAGTAAAACATTTTGACCACATACGAGGCCCGTGTAGCAACCGCACATATTTAATTGTCCTTGCCAAAAGTTCGAAGACGATAACGTTCTGCACGGAGAATGTACAGTATTCGGGTGGCCCCATATAGACTGCTCTGAGGAAATTCCATTAGAGAGATGCATGTTGGGATTAATTCTATTTGTGCTTCATTAAGCTCACACTCGGAATCCAAATCTTGTTTGTTAATGACAGGTACCCTGTTATATGGCCCTGAGGAGATGCTTGTGCTGGCTTTAATGTGTGCGTATCTGATTACTTAGTGCCCCTTTTATTGACAGTTATAACGTTTTTTTATTTCATTGTCTAATTTGTTGGGTAACAGCCCATCTTAAATAACCGTGGTTTCGTTGTTGATTTTGTATTTTAATTACCCTGTTATTTATTGCACACGCTGACAATTGACATTCAAAGGGTAAATATTTACATAAAGCATGTGAAATTCAACCAAACAATTGTGATGCATATGCCTACAGATTGTGACAAAGTATGCACGCATTTATTTAGTTATGATACCATACATTTAGAGATCGTTAAAATAAATGTTTGGACAGGGACGGTTAGTCATTAGGGTTGGTCAGAGTGAAATCGTTGTCATCTAAGAAGGACCTCCACTAGAGGGAGCTCCACAGGGCTCCTTTGGAGCCTATCTTGTCCCCACTCGCTCATGCTGGCTCGACACCTTTGGAAGAGGTCGGACTACCCACACTTTACCTGCCGATCGGCTAATCATGGTTGGATCCATTTATAGTGCCGGGTGGACAGGGGCGTTGAGATGTCATTGTTTCAACCGCCGCACCGGGAGAACGAATGGAACTGGCGGCTTCTGTATTGCGAGCCCGGTGCGGTCATTTAAACATTTCGGTTCGATATTCTGGTGGAAGCTTCACAGGTGCAGGAGCTGCTCACATTTCTAGCGTTTTGTCCATATTGAATCATCGTCGCGAGGCTTATCGTGACCCCCAACTTGCGGACGGACGAACACACCGGTCGGCAGAGCTAAATGCATTAAAGCTCAGCTAAAAACGGCTCGTCGCAACAGCGGTGCCAGTGTCCTGCGCACAAGCTTGGCTCGTATTGGACTGCCGTTACGAGGGTTAGCGCCACTGGCCAAATTACCGGCGGACAGGCAGATAGACAGACATACAGACCAGTCGGAGCCCGTGCATGGACAGCCTTCGTTGTAGAGCGTCGGTGGTGACGGCGGCGGTGCGGTGCGGTGTGCGGTGTGCCGCGTGAACGACCCCGGCTCCCCGCAGGCGGAGGAGCTGCTCAACACGGCGGTGCTCACGGGCCGCACCGTGGCGCTGCCGCTGCGAGTGCTCGTCGTGGAGGAGAGCGGCCTCGTGACCGACGTCTCCGAGGAGGCGCAGTGCTACTCGCTCGACGAGGACGTGCTCAAGGTGCGGGCGGTGTTCGTGGCGGGGTAGCCGCTCGTTGCGATGGTCCGCTGTTCGAAGCCAGCGGGCGCCCCCGGTTGTGAACCACAACGTGCACGCTGCTGCCTGCCTCGCGGCAGGTGCTAAAAGATCCCGTGACGTGGATCAAAAATGAGTAGGCCATGTGTGTGTGTGTGTGCGCGTGTGTGTCTAAAAACGTGTTGTTGCAATGTTTTCCCTGGTTTGATCCCAAATGTGCTGTCAATGTTCGCAACGCGAGACGATGTACCCATGCGGATCTCTCACAGCGCATGGCCCACGGAAGCGGATAGCACAGAGCTACCTCTGAGATCCCTTCTTCAAGTGACCTCTGGTGCGCACAGTTGAGGGCAGGACTTGCCCACCCACTCTGGGTATGAGAGTGACTTTGGTCCCATGACAGTGAAACTGATATTTCATTCTCACAGTTCGAATTGAGCCCAATTAAGTGCGGAACCAAATTTTTATGGGATGTGTCCTTCATTGGAATGTTAATGTTAGGTCACTGACAGCCCCAGCGGCGCCTTTGTTTGCCATATCTCCTCTGCCTCCAACTTGTGGACAGAAAGGCAACCCGTATACACAGGCACCCATCCCATGTGCACAGACACTCCTCCAATGTACCCAGAGACTCCTTCTGTGCACATAGGCACTCATTGTCCATGCTGGTGCGTTTGGTTTTTAAGATAAAAGTGTAATTACTGAAAAACGAGCTAGCAAAATATGAATGCATAAAAACAAACTGCGTGTGATTCATGATAGCACACATCTTTCAAAAGTCAACAACAGTATAATGATGAATTAGACAAACAATGCATTTCAGCTAGCTGCTGATAGCATCATAAGCAAACAAACCCACCACTGAACAATTTTTCCTGCTCTCCATGTCAGATTTAGTAAAAAAAATATTGGTGTGCATTGCCTATCTGTGTACTCCTGTTTACAGGAGCCCATGGTTTTTTTTTTGCAGCAATAATGACAAAACATTTTTCAATAAATCAACAGCGGCACGACTGTTGTTGCACGATGCGTGCATCTTACATGTCTTGGCTAACGTGTGTAAAATCGGTGCCGCTCTGTGTACACACACGGTGATGCTGTCAATTTTACAAGTCGAGTATTGGGAGAACAAAGAGACCAGCCAATTTAATTGCTTGTGAACGGTGGCGCTATTTTAATTCATTGCCGTGAATGTAATTCCATTGCTCTCCAATGTTTTTCTGGAGGTGGAAACCCCAAAAAACACGTTGGAGAGCTGTGCAGAATGGGGTGCGAACGGCTACGGAGTAGCATAATCCATAATAAAGGTTGTTGGGTTAGATCGCTTTATTTATAAATGTGTCGTAACCCTCCACCACCCGACACGGTCAAACAGTAAAAAAATGTGTCACGTTTACAAAAGACAAATAGTTTACTACTTTAGCCCACCGGAGTGTTGAAGAGTGAATCAACATCATTTACAATTTTGAGTACGACGTTTCGCTCGTAATTACATCCAGCATCATCGGGCAATTTGCTATAATGGTGATGCTGGATGTAATTTCCAGCGAAACGTCGTACTCAAAATTGTAAATGATGCTGATTCACTCTTCAACACACCGGTGGGCTAAAGTAGTGAACTCTTTGTCTTTTGTAAACGTGACACATTTTTTACGATTTAGCCAACGTCGGGTGGTGGAGGGTTATGACACATTTATAAATAAAGCGATCTAACCCAAAAAACATTATTGTGAATAATATTGGTCGCGAAAGCCTACGCGTTAAACTAGCATAATCCATATTCTTGGTTCTTTCGGTAAAGTCACGAAAGAACCAAGAATATGAATCCCTGCAGTCACGAAAGCTTTAAATCTAAATTTAGCATAATCCAATTCATGTTCGCACCAGCCACGCCACACGTCCATATCTGCCACCTCCTGATCTCTAGTACTCCAAACTGGCCCTTTATATCCCCTTTGTTTTCCCAATTCCACTCACCTTGCATCACCCGTATGGGTTATATTTTCATGTCAGGGGGTTTAAGTCCATGAATAGTCCCCCTCGCCTGGCAGATGTTGATTGCTGCCAATGCCATTGCATTTAAATAATACTGCAGTGGCACTAAACATTTATAGCCCTTGACTGCAGCTGTTTTGAATTAACTCAGCCTTCAATCTCTCTGGAATTTGGAAATTAAATGCCACTTTGGGGAACTTCAAGCAGTGGTTATCCCGCAGATGGACTAGACCCTACCATAAGAACGTGGAATTGCCACCACTTGCTCACATTTAAGTAGCAAGACATTTTGACGTGCCACCTTTTTAATTACACCATGTTAGCGTCGCTCCTGGACAGACATGGATGGCCAGATTAGGTGTTGATCACAACAATCCATCATGTGCCTTGCTGCCCTTATTAGGCACTCAATAGTACTTATTCCATTAGTCTGCAAGGATAAATGGCAAATATTCGCGCGTATTTGTCGTTGTAAGGGAAATGGTGGTGAGTGTAACGGTGAGTGCTCTCCGCTGCTCTGCTGCTGGTGACCTGAATATACATCTTTGGCTATGCACAATGGCAGTGACGATTAGCATCTGGGGAAATCCTAAACGAGAATGTCTAAGACTAAAATGAATTCCTGGTGGAGCATTTGAAGACATCGTTCCTTTGTCTGCCACTTGCCATTATATCCCTTAAAACTAACCAAGGGAGATCTTTGTTGACAATTGGATGATGTATTAATCATAAGAAAATAAGCCGACTTAAAATAATGTTGCCAACTATTTACACGGGAAAGCCTCACTGGGTCTCAGGATATATTTGTGTTCAGTAGGGTTCTGTCATTGGATTGTTGGGTTAATACCATTAATGCTAAAACAAATACTCCAAGAAGGCCCGTGTGGCCTATGGGTCGTGTAAAAAAAGATAAATGTTTTATCTGGAGACACAAATATGGGTCAGAGGCATCTTGTCTGTTTATTAATTTCTTCCATCAACGAGTGTTTGGCTTTGGGAATAAACCAAAGGAGCCGGAGAAATGTAATGCATACAAAGGGGTGCCTCTCCCTTCTGCTGTCATATGGTGGGGAGTTGATCAGCAACACTTACATCGTCCTGTGAAGGTTGGCGAGTGAGTGAGTGAGCCATTGGACGGCTTCAGGAGTAGGCTGGTGGATATCTTAAACGCTGCCAGCAAATGAACGAAGTGGACAGTGGCGTCACTATGTTGTCCATGGTTTCAGATTGGGTGACCTTAGCTGAACCGTGGGCAGTTGCTATTTGTCCCTTGATGTAGGAAATAGCCGTTACTGCGGTATAGATTTTTTTTGTAATCATGGTTGCACCCTTTCTCTCTCTTTCTCCATGTATATGTATGCATACGCTGCATAAAATGTGTTTAAAAAATATATATCTGCATCGCATTAAATTAACACTTCACTGGATGTGCATTAGCTTCATTAGGCTGCTGCTGCAGAGTAAGTTTTTAGAAGTTAATAAAATATCACAGCATGACTGTTTGTATGTATCATTTTAATCTAAAACAACAATTCTCGATTTGCATTTGTAAGTAAATATGGAAGAAATAATTGTACGCCTTTAAAGAAAATGCCGAAAAATAGTTACTCCCTCTTGAGAATGTTTCTTAAATTGCTACAGTTGTAAGAACTACGTTATACAACTTGAGCTCATCACCAAAAATTATTGAGAGGTAACAGTCATCATTAGCCACTGTTAAGAGTTTTGGTTATAATTCTGAAACGCTGTAATGACAGCCGTGGCTTACAAACATGGGGACAATCACTATTTATATTCTCTTTGATCCTGTGGCTATGCAATTTGTATTAATCGGGGGGGGGGGGTGTCAGAGAGTAAAACAAAACATTTATGCTTTGCTCATTATACTTCTCCAGTAATTTTTATTCGAAGCAAAAATTAATGGCATCCTTTGGGTCAAGTTTCATAATACCCAGGTCACATTAATATGCGCATCAACACAATGACATCCTGTTAGCCAAGGTCTTTAGTTTTGTTTGTATCCAAAGAAATAATTAAATTACAGAAATCATTACGTGCATCACGCGTCATTTTAGCTCTGCCATCGGTATCTCATTATGAACCTCTGCAGGTCGATGAGGAAAAGTGTCCTCTGTCTGCTAGCTAATTTGGATCTAATGGGCAGGGTTTGCTTGGGTCTTGGTCTGGCCATTGACTCATCATTGGCTCATCAGTGGGGAAGCCTTGAAGTTCTGCTTATCAGCGGGAAAGCCTCATCAATGGGGAGAAGTCTCGAGGCTGTGCTGTGTTGACCCTTGGAGAGCTCTGAATACAACCACATATTACCCAGCCTAAAGGATAATGGCGGATTCTTATTTTTAATATACATACATACATCCACACACAAAGAGTGAAGAGGTAGGGAGGTCAACGGGGGTGTGCAGGATAAGTTCAGATTTCACTCACCACTGATGTTAGTCGTGACTGTAAATATAACTCAGGTCGCTGGGTTCACAGCACAGCACACGAACCACTGCTCAGCTGCCCACGCACTCATTAGCGTGGCGAAGTTCGGTCAAGCAACCCGCACGATTAACATGGCATGGGGAAAGTCTTCGTCCAGCAGTTGGTTTACAAAGAGTTGTTCACATGTATTATCATTGAAGTAAAAAAATCCGAGGCGATATCCTGCTCAAATAAGTATTGAGGCGGTGCTTTATCGATTCTTTATATCCCCGAGCCAGTGGTAGAATTTTAAATTCGTATGGTAGGAGTGTGTCTATCAATAGGACAGCCCACTGTTGACATCCCCAAAAAATTGGCATTCATTTTGTTGACTCCGGAGGGATGATGGACTGAGTCAACTCCTGACCAGGATTTGAACTTGAATTACCATTATTATTATTTACAGTATACAGTACAGCATATGTACTGTAATACAATTCAGTACATCACAGTATGTGATGCCTTTTTGTAACAGCCTGACATTTTGCTCTTAGTATTTTCACGATATACGAATACTATATTTAAAAAGAAAATTGATGCTATCCAAGCAGGTGACTGTATATATAATTGAAAAGAGCAAAACAATGTGTATCTCATCAGCTACCAAAACGTGTTCTACGTTTAAGTCAAATCTGCAAATAACAAAAAATATTCATTGTATTTTTGTTGAAAAATTGCAAAAAAAAGGAAACATGCCTCTTGGAATGAACAACTTAATTTCTGTGACAGATGACATTAAAATCTACCTGGGCAACAGGCCTCTTCCCTCAAGGCAAATGCTCTGTAGACAGATCAATGTCTAGAGGTGCATTGCACGATTCCCAGAGTATGGTTTGAATTTATTTTGAAATTGGTATATGACTTGCGTGGCGACGTGCACTAGGTACTTTAATTTTGAACGAGACTGTTGAGACTGCGGTAAATAATGGGATCTGCTGTGTTAAGCTTCTTATTGGGTCTTTCGATGAATGGCTAAATTGCCAACGCACTCTGTGACACGAATTTATGAAAGTGTATGCAAATTTTTCTACATTAGGCCACATTACAGGCTCAGTAAAGTGTTTTTTGGAAAGATACTATCAGCTCTGTCAATGACCCGAGGCTTATTAATTGCTTTGCCAACCCAGAAGCATTTTAGATAGTGAAAAAACTAGATTTGTTGGGGAAGGCCTTACACTAAAATAGCACAAACCAATTAAATGTCAGATACAAATACAAAGTGTATGAATCTTACAAAAAAGCATTTTTTTTTTACTAACTTGAGTGATGCATGCTCAATTTGCAATTCACACCTCATATGACTACATTTTTACATTGTGCAGTTCAGTGAATCATAATGCAATGTTACCATTCATGATACTGAAAAATATTATTTGGTTTTATAATATAATTTTTTTCCCCACAAAATATTAGTAACTCACACCACAGAATGGTTACGACCTTCCATAATTCATTCAATACAATCAATTTCGGCAGATTTATTGGTATTCCAGAAAATATAACAACTGCCTCGCAGTGCTAAGAAGATTAGAGCACTAATATTGCTGTCAAATACGTTGATTCAGTCTTTTTTTTCCCCCTCTGTGCGGAGGATCACAAATATTGATTGTTTTGTAATTTCCCCACGATGGCGGGAAGGTGTCAGCAGGCTGCGAGTACGCGTACGTCAATGGCAAGGAGAGACAGGGCTCCACGCGGGCTCGCGTTCACGTCAGCTACGAGCACATGCGCGCCTCCCTGGATCTGACCGTCTGGATGCCAAAGCTGCCCCTGCAAATACAGATCTCTGACACCGTACTCAACCCCATCAATGGATGGCAGACACTTGGACCCTCCACAGGAAGGTAAAGCGCCTCCGATTCCCCCGGCACCTCCGATTAGCACGGTTGGCTATGGACGGTACCTCCTGTGACTGTCACGGAATGGGGAAGCCTTTATTCAGCAGTGGGAAGAAAAGGGTCCTAAATATGTTTTGTTCAGAAATTGAGAGAGTGGTAGCAGGGTGGATGCTTAACTCTGGTGACCCGAGTTGAATTCCCAGCGACAGATAACATCAGTGGTGAGTGACATCTGAACCAGTTCCGCTTCCAATGGATCCTTATATTTAGTGACGTAAACAAAGCAAATCTTTTAAAGAGGTACACTTCAACTTTTCCTCTCCCTCTCTCCATTATATGATCCTGATGGTGGGACCCTGGGGTCCCGAATAAACGGGAGTCAAAATCTTATTCATTTATTTATTCTTGGCGACTCCGTCCCAACGCGCACATAAACGCCGTGACCCACCTGGTGCGGATCATTCTGTTGTCATGTCGTCCAAGCGCAGCGAGGACGAAGCCGCGGAAGAAACAAAACTTTTAAACTTTGCTTAGTGCATTGTGTAGAGCTCGTCGAGAGGAACAGATTGCCGTATCGTTCGCCTTCAACAGACATAAAATGACATCGCAACGCAGTTTACGCGAGAGCCGGAGGCTTATGGGACCCCGGGGTCCCACTATAAGGTTCATGTGGAGAACTGGAGGAGGCTCTGGGCTTTGGTGGCCACATGAATGAGGAAAGACATGTTCAAGAGATGTCCGGTCTGTTCTGTTATTTTCCCACAATGCTACTAATGTCTATTTTCTATTCCTGTTAATCATTACCGGCTCATATCTACCCCGACTGATTATAACTGCATTATAGGTAGATATCCAGTGAAAAGGGGGGGTGGGGGGGGTGGAAATCAACGACTATAGGTATATTCAGCATTCTCACTTTTAAGCGATGGGTGGCAATGGCATTTTTTCTGGAGAACTATATCATGTCTCACTCTCCAAAATGTTTTCTTTATTCAACTATAAGTATAGCACTGTACTTCAATGTTTGGCAGCACAAGATTGTCCATCACATTATATTTGTTCACGTTTTGGGAAATTGCTGTCATCCAGAGTAAAGGTAATGATATATATTTATCAGTCTTCAGCCGAATTTGTACTCCGAGTATTTCACCGTTGATCCAGATTGTTAAGCAAAATAATTAATTGGTTGCAGCCGTGTTTGTGATGTGATTTTAACTAAATAAAAAATGGCTGCCAGAGCCTCTGCCGATCTTCTAGATAATGTAGGTAATGGAAAAAGTGAAGTGTACCTTGTCAAGCTACTTGCTATATTTGTATCATAAACTATTAGGGGTGCACTGTTTGGGTTAACTGGGAGCGGAACTGCTACAGATATGTGCTCCCAGATGTCTCTGTGGCTGAGAGGGTGTGTAAAACCTAGTTTTATATATTTTTTTCACGTGGAGGGACAGATACGCGAAGGAGGCATATTTCCTCCTTATTTATGTATTGTTTCTATGTCTACAGAATTGCACAGCACTCTCGTGAACAAAGTCCGTGAGAAAGATCCACTTTCCCATTGTTCTCTATCCGTTGTTCTGCCCTCTCCCCACTTTCATTAACCTGCAGATGACACAACGTGGGGGGAGGATGGTCAAATTAGTCCTCATTTCCTCTAGGCACTCCTCCAGCAGTGGTTTGACAAAACGGGCTGTCCATGTACAACGCGCATATTGTACAACGTGTACAGCTCTTGATATACAAAATTCCATGATTGAATTACAGTTTGTGTGTGTGTGTGGTATGTTTTCCTCCCACTTAGTTATTTTAATTTGACCATGAACACAATTGCACGAGAGTATTGTTCATCGTTGATGCAATCCTATCGGCACTCTCCGTGCGTGTTCCGTGTGAGTTATGTACTCGCACACGGGGGGTAAAGCGTGATGTGAAATGCTCCACTGAACTGCCAAATGGGTCCTTGCTCTTTATGGGTACCTCCACTGTCACGACTAAAAAGCCCTGCACCGTGTAACGCGTGCAAGTGTTTCCCATTATTATTGGTCGTCTGATTAACAAATGGAATGCACCGTGTTTAATATAACTTTGGGGATGTCCACTGCCCATCTGTCGTCGCAACACCCCGGAGTGGATTATTTCGTATATGGGCATTGGATGTTAGCACACGTTCCATAATTAGCAATGGACTGCTTTGCCTTTGGTCATGAGACAATCAGAGTTATTTGAGCTATTTACGTCTGTCTTGAAAACTCACCTTTTTAAACTGGCTTAGCCCCGACTAGTTCTGGCTGTTTGTACCCTGCAGGTTCTGGTTGTCTCCCTGCTTTCCATGCACAGCACATCGGTATCCAAGGGCTGAAACATTCCCAAAAAACAATCATACTGTACATCTTGGCATATACAAATTAACCCTGCCCATCAAAGTTTCCAAAGCCGTACAATTACAATGTGCATATTCGACATTAATGTACATAAAAGGCTAAACAATATATATAAATTTCCTGGAAATAATATACTCATTCATCCGAATAGTATACTGAGTTATCGTGTCCATTATTCACTACCTGAGGAATGATTTACGAATAAAATAAATTTCTATTGGCTATACTTTATACTGTTAGGTTTCCTAAAAAGTGTGCGCTCAGAAGCAGTTAACCACATTGTAAACACCACTGCCAACTTCAATGGCCTAATTGAACCAGTTGCTTACTCTATATCTATGACTTTTCTAAAACGTACACTGTACATTGCACACATTTAGGGTAACAGTTTACAGGCAATGCGGTTGCCTGTAATACAGGAAATAGGGTTGCCTGTATTACAGGCAATGCGGTTGCCTGTAATACAGGAAATAGGGTTGGCCTATATATACATTTCCCTATTATCTGCTACTCCTATTACAATTGACGACATCACATCTACGCCTCTACAGTGAGGGAAAAAAGTATTTGATTCCCTGTTGATTTTGTACGTTTGCCCACTCACAAAGAAATGATCAGTCTATAATTTTAATGGTAGGTTTATTTGAACAGTGAGGGACATAATAACAAAAACAAAATCCAGAAAAACGCATGTCAAAAATGTTATAAATTGATTTGCATTTTAATGAGGGAAATAAGTATTTGACCCCTCTGCAAAACATGACTTAGTACTTGGTGGCAAAACCCTTGTTGGCAATCACAGAGGTCAGACGTTTCTTGTAGTTGGCCACCAGGTTTGCACACATCTCAGGAAGTATTTTGTCCCACTCCTCTTTGCAGATCTTCTCCAAGTCATTAAGGTTTCGAGGCTGACGTTTGGCAACTCAAATCTTCAGCTCCCTCCACAGATTTTCTATGGGATTAAGGTCTTGAGACTGGCTAGGCTACTCCAGGACCTTAATGTGCTTCTTCTTGAGCCACTCCTTTGTTGCCTTGCCCGTGTTTTGGGTCATTGTCATGCTGGAATACCCATCCACGACCCATTTTCAATGCCCTGGCTGAGGGAAGGAGGTTCTCACCCAAGATTTGACGGTACATGGCCCCGTCCATCGTCCATTTGATGCGGTGAAGTTGTCCTGTCCCCTTAGCAGAAAAACACCCCCAAAGCATAATGTTTCCACCTCCATGTTTGACGGTGGGTATGGTGTTCTTGGGGTCATAGGCAGCATTCCTCCTCCTCCAAACACGGCGAGTTGAGTTGATGCCAAAGAGCTCCATTTTGGTCTCATCTGACCACAACACTTTCACCCAGTTTTCCTCTGAATCATTCAGATGTTCATTGGCAAACTTCAGACGGGCATGTATATGTGCTTTCTTGAGCAGGGGGACCTTTCGGGCGCTGCAGGATTTCAGTCCTTCACGGCGTGGTGTGTTACCAATTGTTTTCTTGGTGACTATGGTCCCAGCTGCCTTGAGAACATTGACAAGATGTTCCCGTGTAGTTCTGGGCTGATTCCTCACCGTTCTCATGATCATTGCAACTCCACGAGGTGAGATCTTGCATGGAGCCCCAGGCTGAGGGAGACTGACAGTTATTTTGTGTTTCTTCCATTTGCGAATAATCGCACCAACTGTTGTCACCTTCTCACCAAGCTGCTTGGCAATGGTCTTGTAGCCCATTCCAGCCTTGTGTAGGTCTACAATCTTGTCCCTGACATCCTTGGAGAGCTCTTTGGTCTTGGCCATGGTGGAGAGTTTGGAATCTGATTGATTGATTGCTTCTGTGGACAGGTGTCTTTTATGCAGGTAGCAAGCTGAGATTAGGAGCACTCCCTTTAAGAGTGTGCTCCTAATCTCAGCTAGTAACCTGTATAAAAGACACCTGGGAGCCAGAAATCTTTCTGATTGAGATGGGGTCAAATACTTATTTCCCTCATTAAAATGCAAATCAATTTATAACATTTTTGACATGCGTTTTTCTGGATTTTTTTGTTGTTATTCTGTCTCTCACTGTTCAAATAAACCTACCATTGAAATTATAGACTGATCATTTCTTTGTCAGTGGGCAAACATACAAAATCAGCAGGGGATAAAATATTTTTTCCCTCACTGTATTTAAGTAACGAAAACAGGAGGATTTCTCCACACATCTGGCTGCCGCCTGATGATGCCGGTTGTGATTATTGGCGAAACGGCGTACTCAGATTGTAAATGTTGTGGCTTGGCTCTTCAACACACCGGTGTTGCTGTACTAGTGACGAATTGGCATGTTCTGTTTACGTGACAACCCTTACTAGTTGGCTGTGTCGGGTGGTGGCGGGTTTAACGACACATTTATATATTTACACGATCTAATCCCAAAAAAACCTGTATTATGGATAATATTGGTCGTGAAAGCCTACGTGTTAACCGCTTATCCTTAGACCAATTAAGGGTACATTCTGACTCCACCAAAACAGTTAATATTAATGAGTAAATGATTGCTACATGTAACTGTGATGCCATTACAAGTACAAACGTAAAACGTGTACATTTTAAAGATTTATAACACAGAGGTGAGGTTGAATTTTTTGTTCCAACTCATTTATGAAATGCTACACTCTAATAGAGTGCTACAAATGTAGCTGTTGCTCTACATTCTCTCGTGCAAAGTTGACATTTTAATTCAATAAATAACCAAATGCAATACATTAACGAGCTCCTAACCTTACTCTTCTAGTCACCTTTAAAAATAAAAATAACTCTTACCAAACACATTGAAAATCTTATTTTTTTTTTTTAAACGTATTTAATAACATAAAATAGTAATTAAATCAACGCGATTGCCTCAATGCATACTTCCCGTGATCGCAAATTGATTAACATCCACGCAGGAAACCTCCGGACAAGAATTGCCTCCCGCAGTACCAACACGCGGCGCTGCGCGTGTACACGCGGTTCTTCTCCGACGCCCTCGAAGAGGGCGATCGAGTCGCCTACCTCGCGGGTCCCGGCTGGACGCTCGACGTGACCGCGCTGGTCCGGGAGAACGTCATCGTGAAGGACCAGAAAGTGGCCAGCATCGGCGACGGCGACGTTCTCATCGGAACGGCGCCCGGTTCTACCATGCTGCAGGTGAGACGCCAACGTTCCTCACGCTCCCGACAGCATTCCCTTCCGGTGGTTCTATGGCGGTGGCGGACCCCACGGTCTAGGTTGGGTTTCGTGTTGGCACGGGCAAAAGCCATTGGGCAATAAACGCTCAGTTTCGATGGGGGCCCGGTCACACCATAGGAACCCGTTTGCAGCGGCAGCAGCAACGACAGCACGGCCAGGTTCCCGCGTTGACTCTCGGTAGGGAAAAGTGAGCGATCCACTCGACACCGCGTCCGCAGAGTGTCAGCGGCACCGACCAGTGCGCGTGCGAGCGAGAAGCCCAGGTTAAAACCGGTGATCGAATGTCACACGGCGCTCCTGCACGCTTTAAAGCCGCGTTAATGTTTGTGCCGTAGAATGGGCGGCACATTTCCCCCCCCCTCCCCCCCCTCCCCCTCCCCGTTACTTTGCCCAAACGCCTCACGCACGTAGATGGTTGTGCTGCAGCTCGTTGGGGGTCACTATGCGGTTGTGGCGTGCACAGCTCTCCAACGTGCTTTCCCGTCGCGCCGAGCGCGTTGTGTGCCATGATCCGCGGTGTATCACGCCGCGTGCCGACAACTTCCCCATCCAGTTCCCGAAGTAGATCCCAGCGCGTGGCTCGAAACGTCGGGCATCGGTGCCGAGCAACACGCGGTACAACCCAAGAGCACATCGGAGAGCTGCGCGGCACAACTGCGATAACCTAGCATCACTTTATGAGTAGCTCATCTGATTCTGTACTGCAGTTGATATTGTGAAGGGTTTTCAATGGACAAATATGGGGTAAGGGAGCGCACTTGCTCATGAATTTCAAAGTACTGCACTGTGTGTATTTCACTCGTGATATTGCTCGGCCAGCGTAGCTCTACGGAGTGTGCCCTTGTGTGACAGGAATCCTAAGCTCGTGGCTTATCTGTATTGAGATAATAAAGATTGCATGAGATTTCCCGAAAGGGAGACCTTCATAGGCGTTTGTAATGGCAAAATTACCCCCAATCAAAACAGTATTCCCAGAGGCAAACTGGGGCAGTCTTGTAAACATGCTTTATGAAAACTTAATGAAGGCCCGCATATAAATATGCATGGATGCTATAAGCATTTTCTTATGTAAATCAACACTGGTACTTACTATATCGTACTGGAAGTGTATGATTAGGCGATTGTTTTCATATACCGAATTGTTAAGACAATTCTCACAGTTGGTGTCAACATCGCTGATTCTCCATAACCTCCAGCTTCCCCACTGCTAACCAGTTGGAACTATGTTTTTTTATTATTATTAAAAGTTACAGTTCGCGATAATGTAAGGTATACACGCATTCCTATGCTTTGTGAACGCAATCCAAAACTCACATATGCAAAACTATAGGGTATACTGTATGATAGCAAAGCAAATCGGTTATCTAAAACGATGTCATTTCTGTATGCCATTCCACCGATTAGCAGTGATTTAAGCTTCCACTTAATTTAACTCAGTTTAACACATTTATTCCAGTCATTCGAAACAACCTTTGTCTTGCCAAGCACACAAATGAGCGTTGTGCTCATTTCAGTTTAGCCCTCACGGGCTCCTAATGGCCACACGGACCAATTACAAACCATCCGATGCGAGGGGAATTGTGCAACATCCCTTTCTTAATTATCGATCCCCATTGATTCCAAAACCCCATCCCGGCAGGTGCTGTCCCCGCTGTCAGACTCGATCCTGGGGGAGCGCGCGGTGACGGTGAGCGAGGAGAAGGTCTCCGTGAGCGGGCTGCACGTGACTCTGCTCTCGGGCCTCTCCCTGTCGCTGCGAGCCAGCAGCAGCGAGCCGAGCGTCGTCGTCGCCAGCACCACGGGGCTCGGCATCTTCACGGCCAGCAAGCAGGCACGACCCACAGTGGGGCTGTGGTGCTGCAGCTTGACCCACCTAATGGGGGGGGGGGGGGGGGGGGGGGGGTGATGTCAGGGTTTCCCTCCGGTGGAGGCTCTTCCTCCAGCAGTGGCAGGAGAAAAACATTATTTTTTGCAGATCTGTACGTACAGTATGTATGTTGAACTTCTTCCGCGCCGTACGAAGCCAACCGTGCTCGTTGTCGGTGCGGGGGAAAGAACAACGAGAGGGCAACAGCTCTGCCGCACCTTTACCCCTTCATGCAGCGAAAATTAAGTTGTTTGAGAGGAAATTTGCACCGAGTGTTTGCTGCTGCTATCATCATCATCGTCAGCAGCAGCCACAGTCAATCCACTGCTGCATGAAGGCCTGCCACTACTGATCCTACGATGTAAATGTATCCATTAGAGAATTGGAGTCGAGCGGCGGCCATGACGGTTATTGCACCGCTTTAGGAACGCGGTTTCCTGCGTTAGATTCCCATCCACGGTCAAGATCGGGGGCGAGCGATGCCTGTGCCTGTTTCGGGCATTCCCACCCCTCCCTTCACTAACCCGCACTGACCAGCGTGGTGAAGTGTGTTACACATCCCCCATGATCGACGTGGCATGGAGAGGCCTTCATCTAGCATAGCATTGACAAAGATCCTTATATCACTGTATATAGAATACGTTTTTTCTTTATAGAAGTGAGTGTTGATTCAGAAGGTGTGTTATCGAGCGATAATTATATTATCAAGCAATTGATGTGCATGAGATCTGCAAAGACACAATTGGCAATTTAAATGATCTAACACTCGGTAAGAAAACATCCTAACTCTTAACATAATCTGTTTTGAAGAGTTTTGCTGTGTTGTAAATTGTTATTTTAGTTCATACCTAATGACTAAAGAGTCTTACTTTTTAAGTGTTGTCAAAGTACCTGGTGACATGATACAATATTAAGATGTGTAAATCGAAAACACCAGCTTTTGGCTCAATGGACTGGACCTAAATATTAAATTAACATTTTGAGCATTTTACATTTAACCATACCGAGAAGAATCTAAAATATAATTGTGCTATTAAAACAACAATTATGGTTTCGTATGCATCCTAAAGGGGCTTTGAGTGATTAAAAGCCAACATTAACACCTCCTAAATGTTACTGCAAAATGTAATTTTTAATTTAATAAGAGCTATCAAAAATATATGTTTTTAAACTACCGTCACAATTTAACTGTGTTAATTTATTTCACGCTATCCTTTGACTGCCGCTTCTTTCAAACCCTTTGCAGAAAGGAACGCTGCGTGCTTGGATACAATTCAGTGATGGCACCACTCCGCCTCTCCACCTTTACCAGCCCAAGGATTACAACATCGTCGTTAGCACATTGCAGAAACATATCCTGTCCATTGACGTGAATCCCCACTCACCCATGCCAATGATAATAGCGGAAGGCGAGGGTAATGGGAGGATAAAAGTGGAACTAAAAAATGCGCACGTGTGCCAGAATTCCGTGGAGCCAAGTACATTGATAACATCTGCAATATTCGTACCAGTTAACTTTATCGATCTGGGAGGCCAGCCGTTGGAAAATGACGCACAACCTAGCACCTCATCCAACACTGACATTGGAAGGACACACCCTGGCCAGTGGAATAATGGTAACGATGGATCTCAGGACAGAAGAGGCTCTGTAGACAATGAGAAACCTGCGGACAACCGTAACATCCCTGACACGAGTCCTTCGGGAAACAAAGACCTCGAGGAACAGCTGTCACAAAAGCCCCGTCGCCTATCTGACCTGCAAATAGGAATGTACACTTTGTTGAGTGTATTCTGCCTGGCCATACTGATGTTCCTGGTGAACTGCTTGTTCTACGCAGTACAGTACAGGAAAAGGCACACGCGGAGGGGTCAACAGGAAGAGATGGCCCATTCTCACGAATGGGTCTCCCTCAAAAATTCAAGCAGCACAATTAGTGCAAGGGCCTTAGACGCCAAGGAGCCGTACCCTGCCACCGTCAATCACATCGTCGATGACGGAGGCTTCGGAAGTGGCAGCAGCCCAAAGATTTACATCCAAACGCATCGACACAGGCATGCACTCGAAGCGCCTCCGCAGTCGGAAGAGTCGCACCGCAAGTTCGACCTGTCCACGTCGCCCACGTCGCAGAGGAAAAAAGTGACATTTGCCACCTTCACGGCGTCGAGCCCTTGCGAAATCCCCCGGCATCACAGCTGCAGTGGACTGGTCAGCGAAAATGAGGCGATCACGTCATTTATATCCAACGCAGAAATAATGGGCGAAGTAAAAACAGTGACAGATTTTGCACAGAGAAGAGAATGAACAATACGGCAGTGCTACTGATCGAAGAAACAACCTATATATATGATTTCCGTAGGACACTGTTCTACTACTGTACCTGTTAGCTGGCAATCTAATGGTGTCTGTAAATGTTTGTACACTTTGGAGAAAACAGTCTTTTATAAATGCAAATACACAATTATCATTAGAATTGTTGTGGAGAATGTAAGTAATGAAATAGATAAGTGGACAATATGTTTCCCTACATGTCTATCTCTCTATAGAAAGATTTCACGTTTTTTTTTTTGCACAGTCCGTCGGCCCCACGAACTTCCTGGGAGTGCATAATTTTATCAGCACTGAATCAATGATACTGAATCAATGCTGCAAAAATTATGTACTCCCAGAAGGCCGTGAGGCTGTTGGTTGTGTAAAAAAAAACCTTTTTTTTACACAAAAAAAACCTTTTTTTTTACGTGGAGAAAGAGATATATAAAGGAGGCATATTGTCTAATTAAAAGTGCAAGGCTTTGGTAAATAATTAGAGCTAGTGTATGCAATTTACAAGGCCATGCTTGTGTGCATATCCATGGTTTAATGGTCATTTGTTACTACTATTATTAGCTAAAAAAAATGTTTTAATCGTCAAATAAAAACTCGATATTTATTGGTTTCTAAACATTTGTCAAGCAACGTCAAACGGGACGTACACATTTTGACAGCTGCCTTTTTTAAAGCACTCTGTTTTTGATTAATGGTATATTTCTCCTATTTAAACACTGATAACACAGTCACTCAAATAGTGTGCTTTACAATTTGCTTAAAAACAATGTTTTTTTTTACAACCATTTCAAATAACACAATGGATAGGCACATCATTGTAAGATAATTAATTATAAGTTCATATATATAACTGAATTAGCTGAAATGTGCAAATCTATGGGAAAAAATGTGGATAAAACAAATTTACAAAAACAAACACACAATTTGGTGTTGGGTTCGGTGGGGCGCTACACGTAGCTTTAATACGGAAATATGTCGGTTGTGTTTCTGGATTACAAAAGTGTATGGTACGGTTCAGAGATAGCAGCAACAGCCATTGCATTCATGAATGACCCACCTCTTGTGAAATGAGACGGGATCATAGGAGACAGTGCAGAGAGTAGATTTTGGAGCTGTTTCTGTGAAGTTTAACTGCTCTCGTTAGATGCACGAATTTATTTTTTCTGCCCACTTCAATTTCCTTTCACTTGCAAAACGACTCAAAGGTCCAATGGCCTAAGCAGTTCTTTCTTTAAAACAGACTTGAAGATTAGCCAGGATTTCCTCAGTAAAGATAAAAAAACTCTATATATGTAAATCTGAACTATGTAGCACATACAGCATTCTTTTTTACATCTTAGACATTACTGTATATATGCTGGTAAAGAGCAAACACACAAGACCATTTTTTGTAATGGAATAAGTTTCGAGATATGTTTAAGTGGCTATTTAAAAATGGTGTGTTGCAACATTTTCAGTCGTCATACAATGCATGTATGATACTCTCCCGATTATAAGACGCATAGTTTTCCCCTGTATTTTTTAACCAAAAGTTGCAAGTGAATCATATAATCCAGTAGGTGTATGCGTGCGTGTGTGTATGTGTGTACAGGGACAGATTTGTTTTAAAAACTTTATTAACACCGAGCACAAAGTCTGGGTGCATTTCACTTTCAAGTGAGCGTGTGTTATAATCCGGAGAATATGTTAGTTCCACTACAAAATTACAATTATGAGATTTTAGCAATATTGGTAATTATATAATATGGCTGTTTCATTATATCATTTTCTTCAGTAAAATAATTTGAACCGCTACATCTGCATTCAAATACATTACCAGATATCCTTTGAGACCGCTATATGTTAAAATGAAAGAAACACCGACATTTTTGGCACAATTTTTATTTTCTGTGACGTTAACAGTATTTTTGTTCTTGTTATTTTAGAGTGTTGTGCTATGATGTTATACGATTTTTTTATCTATGTAAGTATGTGAATGCCTTACAAACACTGTCCCACAATGATCAATAATGGTGCCTTCTCATAGGCATGAAAACATGTAGACCGTAAATAACTAAACTTACACCGGATTAGAAATTAACTGTGATATGTTAACATATGAAGCTTTTGCAGTATGTGAGATAGTATTTTGAAATGTTAAATTGGTACTGACACAAGAAAAAGCTCTACTTAACCATTATGAGTGGGGCTTTGTTTTAGTTTGCATTATACTGAAGATATAGGATCTTATTCATGGTGTGGCGATAAGTAATTTTCCACCAAAATTCGGTGGTAAATTCGCCAACTGTGTGAAAAATTGCAGAGATATGACCACCGACATTTTTGGATATTTTCTGACGAATTTTCAGTCGAAAATACCTTTTCGGTAAATGAATAAGTAAACTTAATTTTATGCAAACTCGTGTACGTGATATCCACACAAATAAATCAATATTTGTTTGTATGATGTAAAACTGACCAGAGTGTTATGTTTTGAACCATCACAAGTTTAATCAGAGACCCAAGTTAAAAACATTTTGGAAATCTAGGGAAAATATCTTTTTTTTCCTTTTGTTATTAACCAGTAAAGGCTTATCTAAACCAAAAAACACAGCCTGCTATATTTTTCATAGAGTAGTGTAAATTGTGTTAGCATTTATATATGAATATAACTTTTCATTTAAAATAACATGACAATCTTTGAGAGAGAATGTTGGTTTATTTTTATATGGTTATAACACTACTTAATAAATGGGCATGGAGAGTTTTTAATAGATTCGTGAATCGTGACTGAAAATGCCACCCTGGCTATTTCAGTTCAACACTTAAATTGTAAACCTTTGAATTGGCTGTTCACTTCAGTTTTGAGCGAAAAGTCAGGCAAGCATCATAGCTGAAATAAACAATCTTCCTTGAACATAGGTGACGGCTGAATTATACTGCATTCGTGAAAGTTGAGAAGTGCACTTTTACTTTTTTCTGTCGTTAAATTAAGTTCACGTCTGCTTTATTTAGTTTTCTCTCTCTCGATCTCGCTCTCTCTCACGAGGCCAACAATTTAGAGGCACTTACAGATTGCCAGCCAGCACTTTTCCAACTTTTAAATACGTTTTCTCTTTACGTCTTGGAAAGTATCATTGTAGCTGTGATGGTGGCAGTGGGAATTTAACACATCGACTTCACAAAACGAGACCAAAGGCCTCAAAAAATATCAGTCAGAAACATGATACGGTGTACACACACAACATTATAAATACTATGGGTTGCCTTTTGTGCAGTCTTGTATAATAATGGCATTGTTTAAAACAATGATAAAAATGGGATTCTTGTTGACATGCCTATTGTACAAATGAAAGCCACTTTTGGCATACTCGATCTTACACACAAATGCGTGTAATTTTTTTGGTCATGTGTATGCTAGATTCTCATAGTATCCAGTTCAACAACACAGGTCTGTGCTGTTATCGATTATAGTTACAGAGGTGTACGTTGCTGTACAGGTATACCATTGTTACATGTATTGTATTATAAAACTTCACATGTCATAGAAAGTTGTTGAACTGGCAAATACGCTGCTTTAAAAATGCATGTTCAATTTTTAATATTTTTGTTTCTGTTTCCATAAGTATTGTAAGTAATCATCAAAGGTACCATTAAAGTGGACATATAGATGCAAACTTGCTGTTAATATGAAGACCATTTACTGCAAACAATGCTGTAAAATTTTGTCAAAATAAAGTTTGTTTTTTAAATAAACAAAATGTTCACGATCAAAATCAATTCATGGCAGATCACCATTTTGTCGATTAGCAAAGGTGCAGAGCTGTTACTGTTTGCTCACACCACTACTGGTGGAAGGGGCTCCATGATTAGTGAGCTCGAGAAATCCCCTCAAACTGAGGGTATTTTGTTCTATTCTTCCACCCTAATGAGTAATGATCAGGGATTAATTCATGTGTTGGTGGAAAGGCAGTTTCTGCTGACATTTGGTGGGAAAATGGTCACATCACCACTATTTGAATCATTTGGCGAGACCCCGGGGTCCCGCAAAAATCAGATCAATAATTATTATTATTTTTCAGTCCACCCACTCGTGATCCCGACAGCAACGCGCCGCCCGCCCAGACTCGCACCAACAAGCGCCAGCAGCAGCAGCAGGCGGCGATCGACACCGACACGATGGGCGCCACCCCACCGGCCAAACGCGAGCCCCGGGGGGCGTCCGCCGCAGTCGCCCGCGGCGACGACGCCCTCCTGGTCAGCCGTCGATCCTCGGCTTCTTTGCCAAGGCGAGCCCCGCCGCCCCCCCAGGCAGTGAATTTAACGTGTTCATGTAATTTTTCAACTTTTTACGAAACTCAGTGCCCCGAGTAGCTCTCGACGAGGCCAATCGATTGACCACTAGTTTTGTTGTCGGTAAGGCAGCAAGACTCGTGTCGCTACGCGGTTTTTCCCACCCCGGGGCAGTGATGGGACCCCGGGGTCCCGCCAATTGCTTCATTTGCAGATTTAGCAGTCCCCCGCCACGGAAATGTCGCTGTCTTCTCACTAAGTACAGGCTGTCTTTCTTGGTGAAATAGTTTCCATAGGTGTGCAATATCTTCACATCAAGGGGACCCAGTGTCAAACTACAAATCACAACTGCATACAATTATCCAACGTAGTAGCTCTCTCATGCTCTATTGCACCCTATTTCATTCAAGATGCTTGACACCAATGGTCTACGGAAACAGATAATTAAAGCTTATTCTTGGTTCTTTCGGTAAAGTCACGTAGAAGGGAAACAATAACATAATAAAAAAATATATTGTTTCCATTCTACGTGACTTTTACCGAAAGAACCAAGAAAATTAATCCCTGCAGTCACGAAAGCTTTAAATCAAAATTTAATTAAAGATTGTTTACACAGGCTGACAATGTTGTGGGTTCACTCTCCAACACACCGGTGTGCTGAACTAGTAGCAAATTGACGTCTTCTTTACGTGACAAACCTTACCAATTGGCTGTGTCGGGGTGGTGGCGGATTTAACGACACATTAATATTTAAGCGATCTCACCCAAAAAACCTCTATCATGGATAATGTTGGTCGCGATAGGTCACGTGTTGAACCAATATGTTGTTGTTTTTTTTCAGGCCCAACCCGCAAAACTTACTGGTACAGGAGTTATTGTATTTGCACAATTAAATACGGTACAACTGGAATTAAATGCTAATGAGGTTTTTTTTTCTTTGGCTGGAAATGTTTACACTTTAGAAATTGCTCGATGCGTCGAACGGTGCTATTATCGCAGCAATTATGTCTGAAATGTCGTAAATATATGCTTATTATTTTTCTATCTACGTGACTTTACCGAAAGACCCAAAGAGTACATATATATAGTATCTAGGTCTTGTATATGAATTTACATTGAACAGCATCCTCCATCATCCTCTCGACCTCCCCCTCAACTCAGAATTTCTCAGCCCCGGCACAACCACTCCATTATTATTGCATCGTTTCCCCTTCCTCATCATTCTAGTGTTGTGTAATGCGTTCAGGAGCGAAATGCCAATGTCGAGGTCTGCTCGCCACGCGAGGGCTTCAGGAGAGAGTTGGCGTAGTTTTGTTATTCCTTCTGCATTCAAGGAGTGCAGACTCGAGATGGTTTTACCACATGGTTAATAGTTTAGGTTGTATGGCCACAATCACACTGACCTCATCCACATCCCTCATTAAAATCCAATGTATACATCAGATAGGTGCTAGACTCGATAGCGCCTTCATCATCTTTTATCTATCCAGGTGACAGCATAACAATGAGAGTAATTCTTACGTACTTTGTACGATTTAGTGATTATATTTAACATGCACAGTTAATTGTACTCAATATATAATTGTTGTGAAATTAATTTGTGTTATTGCATGTGTACAGTTTTGAATCCATATTAAAATAATCAGCTCGGCAACAGCAATCAAATTAAAGTGCATTGTTAAAGCTCTCATGAAATTAAATAATATCTGCTATAAAAATTATGACATTTTTGGTAACTGAATATAATTTGCCTCGACTTGCTTTTGAGATCACATCATGGACGTGACCAAAATAAATTACTACAGATTAATCTTTTTGCTTTTTAATTGGAAGGGTATGCATTCGAATATTCAAATAATCCAAATGATGGCTTGCGCAACATAATCTTTGAGTCATTAAAATGTGTGAAAATGCATAAGATAGCGTTTTGAGAATAGAATACGGTGTTGACATCTCTTCTTTATTTCTGCATGCACGAACGACAACGGATCAATTATTACTTTTAGTGGCCCTAAGCAAGTGGTGGAAATTCCACATTCTTCTGACAGAAGCAAGTCTGTCCATTGGACTTCATTGACCCAAGAAGGAATGATGATCCCAGCGTACAAAACATGAATAGGTCTAACGCAAGCTGTACCCGACGAGGTGCACGCAGCGTTAAAGAAACCGCTATCAGAAAGCGTCTCATTGTTCAGTGGCTTTTTGAAATTCAATGCTGCTGTTTAAATGACGTGATGTCATGTATTGCATTACGCTTGAAGAAATCTGTCAATCAACTTACCACGGTGTAGCCATTTCGCTACTGGTTTTATATAGAGTCGCCTGAGACTAACATAACGTGCGTTCAGACATTTTGTAGATGCAGTGTGCTACCCTCCATGGTACACTGGCTCCACATGGCACCACCGAAAATGGCTCAGACATCGTGTATATCATACACCGTGGCCTCTATTAAAGCGTCCCTACATTTCTCACGAACCTTTCCGTCGCCCAACAGAGATGGGACATTTACGATTGTTTTACTGCCGCAATAACAATTGAAGAAGAGCACGAGTATCATTTCATGCTTGCTATGAAAAAAAAGAACGTGCTATCTTATTATCATCATTTGTATTGCTGTGTTAACCCCCAAGAGCACTGTTGTGGAAACCTTATTGCTAATTAAGCTTTCAGAGATGAAGGAAACTCACCAGTTACCATATTTATCATTTAGTTTTTCCTATTTTTACGCAATGTATTTTTCAACAAGAGATGCTGTCCCTTTGTGAATGTGTAAGTAAAGTAAGTCGTGTTGTTATTAGGTAAAGATGCAGCCCTTGCCGTTGCTTGTGCAAAACACTCCTGGTTCGAGAGGTCTCTAATGACGGGAGGTCGTGAGAGCCCCATGCTGGCACAGATGTCTTGGTCGGAGGACACACTTTACACCGCCACACGTGACGTATTGATCGGCTGCGTTGCCACTAATCGCCTCTCAAAGGGAAGGTTGACCTCATTAGGTGATTAACTGTATGATGCTATGCCATTATTTTGTTTTAAAAACATACCTTTCAATATTCTTTTCATACACCTAACTTAAACCTCAAAGGTATATTATTTGGAATTAAAACACAATTCCGATGTTTAGTACAAAAGCGTCCCCACGGCCTCTGCAACTTCCATAGCTACAATAACAACAACAATAATACAAATGCATTTCACACAAAATAATAATCATTATCCTCATTCGTTCAGTAATTAATGTTGCTGAAATTATGCACTCCCAAAAGGCCGTGTCGCTGATGATATGTCTAAAAAAATATACGTTTATATACTTTCAATTTACATAGCCTCTAAATGCAACTGCGGGGACGAAAGTGAAGCGAGGGCATGCGGCTGGATGAAGGGAGAGGCCCATGGGAGAGAGAGAGAGGGCAGAGTGCATCGCCCGAACGCAGCCCAGCGGCCAATGAGGCCAAGTCCAAGGGGATAAAAGTTACTGGGGACCCCGACTCAACAATTCCCAGGGGTAACGATGGGAGCGCAACACCGATGGACACCAGGAACAGCCGGGGGAAGCCAGGGCAGCAAGAGCAGCACCAATAAGTCCCAGGGCAAGTCTTTGGGGACCAGAACTCCGGTCATCCTCGCAGCAGCGGCGGCTTTTGGTGAACCATCGAACAAAAACGGTGACTGCATCGCGCACTTTCAGACGCGCTTCTGCGGCCGTCTGGAACGCTCTCTTCCTTCTGATATTTGGAGGCTACTGAAGCTTTACACTTTTAAATCTAAATTCAAACTCGTTTCTTTAGAACCGCCTTGTGTTTAGTTTTTGTCCTTCCCCCATACCTCCGATTAGCATGGTTGGCTACGTATAGCGCGAAATAAACTCAGCATACATACAGAACTGCATTGACACATCACAGAGCATTATATCTCACATTACCAAAAGAGTGGATAATTGCATTTCAATAAATGGTGTATTATAACGTAACCGACAACAAGTGGGACGTTTAATGTTTCGAGGAAGATTTGTAGATTTGTCAGTACAGCTACCCCAAAATAATGCCAGTCCGAGGCAAAATCAGGACACAGGTGGCAATCCTAGGCCGAAACTTTCTGACAAGAGTGTGCAATCGTGATGCGTAATGTCCATTTATACAAGGAAGCCTCACCGTGCACGAACATACATTTTCAACAGGGTTCTGGCATTTCAGGAACAATTAATATTTCAGATGAACACGTGGAAGGCTTTCGCGACCAATATTATCCATAGTAGAGGTTTGTTGGGGTTAGATCGCGCGAATATAAGTGTGTCGTTAAACCCACCACCACCCGACACAGCCGATTAGCAACGTTTGCCAATAGGAATAAAACAAGCCAATTCGTTATTAGTCCAGCACACCGGGGTGTTGGAGAGTTACCCTAAATGTCGTGGGTTTACTCTTCAACGAACAAACCGGTGTGCTCAACTGGTAACACATCGG